TATTACTCATATAGCGCAGAATACATGTGGATATGATCTAATGCGCTATACAATAAGATTATGCAAAATAAAGTATGAAAACGAATTATAAAAGGCTAAGAATAAACAATATGACTAACTAAAAAAAAAGGTATGAAAACGAACTATAAAAGGCCAAGAATATACAATATGACTAACTAAAAAATAAAAAAAACATTTGTAAAAGCAAACATGAAAATGCCTGTCTAAAGAGATGTGTTTTTAGAAGTGTTTTATAACAATTAGGAGCATTTACTGCTCTTCTATTTGATGGCAATCTATTCTAAAGTTTAGGAGCAGATGCCATAAATGATCTATCACCTAGCGTTTTCTTAGTTATGATCCTGGGTGGCAATAATTGTGGTTCAGACTGAGATCGTAACATCATACGTCCGAATTGTTGCTTAACGTTAATTAGATCGGGTGCCAGCCCGAACGCTAAAATAAGTGATTTAAATTCAGTTCTGAAACAGACAGGTAACCAATGCAAGGAAAACAATGTAGGAGTTATATGACAAAAACGAGAAAGGGAACAAACAAATCGGGCAGCACTGTTCTGAACACGTTGTAACTTGTTGAGATATGCGGCTGGTAGACCATACAGCAAACCATTGCAATAATCAATACGTGCGGTGATGAATGCATGAACGAGTGTTTGTTTGGAGTCTTTAGTTAAAGATCATCATCCCACTGCCTCCTCAAAGTGTTATCCTATCCCGACTTTTTTTTTTAAACTTACCAAAATAATATCTTGTCTCAGTGTTTCTGCAGATAAGTGAATTACAGTAAAAAAGGGGTTTGTTTTCATTAATTCCAATAGAGATATAAACGCGGAGAAGAAGAGTAGTCAATGACAGGAATTGTTCTTTCTCTTATACGAAATTGTTTTAATGGCGAATGGGAATAGATTACAATAACTATATATCCAGGTCACGACGCCGAAAAGGACAATGATTTACCTTTTTTATCAATGGAATTTATCTTACAAACGGCTGTCACCCTAGTATCATTCGAAAATGTGTAGGCTGAAAGTAGCTATTTTTTTTTATTACAGTTTAATTAACTTTAAAAACTATCTACCTATCCTATAACTTTATCTTAGAGAGCTGGCAAAAGATAAATGGTGAAGAACCCGTCTGCTTTGGAGCCAAAGATAACCAATACGGTTCCTTCAACATGACAAAGAGTGGACGAGTGAAAACAATGAAGCTTATTCACCGGTCAGGGTCGGTGCGCTGCGGCAATTATATTTCATCCTACTGGGGCTGCACCTACTCAGGATATGGAGAAGATTTGATGACAATCATTACAGATGCAAATAAGAAGGCCATTCTGCCCCCTACCGAAGACTTGAAAGCTCATCCTGATAACACAAAAGACCATTACAGCCTTCCTGGATATCACCATAATTCAACTGAGCTGGTTTTTCGCAACCTCGACAATCCATTGTCTGTCTCGAGCTACCAAGAGATGCAGTTATGGTACGGACAGGATTGGAAGGACTACTTTGAGGGAGACAACAGCGGTAAAACTTGTGTTGATGTGTATGCATGGTATGAGTGAGTCTGCCCACTAGAGATCTTGCCTTCGATAATTTTAAAACGTAAAAGAAAAACATTAGAATATAAAAACCGCCATTCATGTACAAGATCCCTGGTAACACTTTTAGAAAGACAAACCTGTTTCAGTGTTTGAAGACTGCTATGTCTTTGTTCTATACCTGTCAGAAAAGAGAAAGATCATAGGGATCAGAATGGTTTTTTATTAAAATGTCGCTCGAGATCACGGAGAAAGGCCTGATATTTTTCGGTCAATTAGTTTTGCATAGTTTTGCTCAGCATGGTACACCTTACTAGGTAGTATGGTACACTTCCTTAGCATTCATAGTCGAGAGCAAATTTAACTGTATGAGAAAGTTTAATTTCAATAAATTCATACACATAAGTGGTTATTTATAGTGGGTTTTCGAACTCAAGCTCGATTTCAAAAAGGGAAAAATGGAAGCAAAATAAAACTAAACAATTCCGGAAGGCAAAGGAAAGGAACGAACACAGAACAAAAAAAATACTCTCCCGAAAAATACTCGGACTCGGACTCGAAGATACACTGATATACCTGTATGTCATTTAAAACATGTTGAAGTCGGCTGATCTACACGAAACTATCCTCACGCCGGTAATTTGTCATAAACATGTACGTTATCACGATGGCGTGACGTATTTCTCCATGAGGATGGCCATCGGTCGCTATGGATATTTTTCATACATGTCAGCAGATTTCCGCTTTCTGAAATAAAAACAACCTAGTAGGTGGGTAGTTTCATTTCCAAAAGCGATGCACGTTTGGAGAAATTCAGATAAACGTTTTCCCTGTTTTACCCGAAAACAAAAGTGACCGAAACTGTACCGAAGATGAATAATCTATTGGTGTGTTCACATTCACTTTCCCAGGGAAAATTGATTGAATCAAAGTGAAGACGAATGATGTCACTATGTATGGTAGAAGCGCCAATTTGTGATGTTGTATTTAGCTTGAGATAGAGAAATAAACATTTTTTTTGCGACGTTTTTGTATGAAAATGAGGCTCAAGGCCTCGAACAAGCAGCCGTTGTTACCATGGCAACAAGAGTGCTGCGACCTTTAAAAAGGGCATTTTTGTGCATCCCCCTGAATACCTAACTGCATGTAAAATTTGAAGGGGGGTTGAAAATTTTCATTTCCCAAGATGTTTGATTGATGATAATTAGTTGATCCAATACTAAATTCTCTGAACTAAAATTACAAGAATCGCATGGTTGACTGTAAGGAGAATTACAAATTTGATCTGGGATTTAAAGGGTTAGGGAAGATATGCGCCTGGAATACCATTCTATCAGTTCCTCAATGGCTCAAGTTGAAGGAAAAAAAGTTAGAAACTTCCCTACAAACTTCTTACCATCAGCGTGACAGACAATACTAATTTTCGTGGTAAAACATTAGCTACTCGCAGTCGTCTACTGTCGTTTTGAGGTATGCCTTTTAGATATCTTTTGAACCAGGAGGGAGGGGTGACTCCGTTATTCTCTTGTATGCGCCGCCGTCGGGACACCACTGTCAGTATGACGTCACATAGTAACAATAGAAGCGCTTTCCAAAGTTTGCTCAGTCTAGCGTGTAGACAGTAACAGAAGCTAACAAAGACAAGGTCATCACAGGCTCCTAGGGGGTTATTATTAACTAATGTGTCGTGAGGGTGAAAGCTTTGTTCTTTATATTGTCAAGTGTTGAACTGTCTTCTGTCTTGTGGAAGTTTTTGTTTGTAATTTCACTAATTAGTATCAGCCTAGGATCTCATACGAGTTATTAAATTCCGAAAATGCGCATAGGTGGTCTCTTTGAACGAAGCCACAAGACCTCTCTCGTTCTTTCAGTTTTTCATTCAGGCTTTAACGTTATCTGTTTTACCAGCTATACTAAAGGTGCAAACGTTTCCTCCCCCACGCCTGCATCGGCATCAACAAAAACAACAAAAATGGTGACAGTTACAACCCCATCAGTAACCAATTTAAGTTCAGAACCTGCTTCAAAGCCCATCCATGTAAGCTATACTAAAGCGTATGGGTTAAGGCCACGAGATCCTTCTCCCATCAAATTCCCTCACCACATACACAATGGAGCAGAACACTCCCCCCCCCCCTCCCCCTTTACGAAAGCCCGACAATGGTATTCAGGTATGTTCATCAGTGAATGAAGCATTTTTTCCTGGAGACCCCTAACTAAGGGTCATGTTGCACACCACCCCCCACGGTCACGAACAGCCTTTGGGTACACATACTTTACCAGATGAAGCCCATTTAAGGGTTCATGACATTGTGTATCAAGTCCTGTGCCTAATTCACGCTTCAATTGAATCAGAGCGTGATCACTTGTTATAAAGTGGAGAAATATGTGAGAAGCTGGGAAAAGTTACGACCCATTTTAGAGTGTTTTTTTAAGGATGAAAATGAGAAAGAGCCAGTCAACTTAGGAGGACATGGGCTATAAAATACTGAACCTGAGAAAAAACAGAAAATTGTGAAATATTTGTTTTATCGCTCAAAACCAAAACCACGAGTCAATGATCTTTCCTGCAATCTGTTTTTAGTAGACCTTCGTAAGGAGCGACATTATCGTAATGTATTATAACTAATGTCAAGTCGGGTACATGTTCCTCAGTATTTTGACATAATTAGCATTATGTCAGTCGTTTTTGATGTGTTTCGTTGTTTTATTTCGGAATAAGATTATTTGATACTAGAAACCCTGTCGTCTAATTTTCTGACTGGTGTTCTCAGTTTGGAAGACAAAGAAAAAGTTGCAGCAACTGTTCTAGAGAACAGAAATGTAGTTCTTGCGATGGAGCATAGGAAAGGAATGAACGACCGCTGTCTTTTGACCAAAGTAAAACATATTTGCTGGTCTTCATCCCAATTCCATTAACTTTGCCCCTTTCCTCAATGGAGAGCGAATCCTTTAACACGCCGCCAGGTTCTGAAAGTAATTAATGCCGTGACGATTAATCTGCGCATAGTTAGACGAATATTTCACATACATCTGAATTAGGAGCTCAATAAAACATGACGTAATGAAGAACTCCACCAAAAAATCCACAAAGTCACTTTAAATCTACTTTAAAAAATTTTTTCCTGTATTTTTATACTCTCACAGGTATCAAAACACAAAGCAAAACATATCAGAAATTGCTTTGTCCATCCTCACCAAGTAACATCACCTCCTATGATAAAATACAAAACAAAACGATTAAAAAACAAACAAGAAAAGAGAAAACGCATTAAAAAAAGTTATTTCAAAATTCAGTTATATGGCGATCGAAAGAAACAATACGTTTCAATATTTTCAATCGCCTAAGAGTTGCAGACGATGTTGGTTTTCCATAATGACGATATTCTCAATTCCATGATTGTAATTATGTCATAGTCGCTCGGGAAACTGAGATGATCTGAGGCATTATAACGAACCAGACTTTATTAAGGGTAGGAAAGATTAGTTGCCTTGTTTCTTATGGCAAAAGGAATGAAATAAGCCAAAAATGTTGAAAATGATAAGCTCTGTACTGCCAGCAACAAGTAAACTGCAGCTACGAAGTAATCTAGTATTATCAACTGAGTTGATAACGTAAATTGGCTACCGCAAAGAGTTTCAAAGCTGACGTTAGAGAGAGTTAGCTGGTTTTTATTCCCATAAAAAAGTAAATACTCACATCATTCTGATATATTTCAGAGAATGCGGCTTTTCCAGAGTTCTGCTTTGGTTTTTCTTCTGATTCCTGTTTGGTAAAACCAAGAGATTAAGACAACTTGCTGACAAGCTGATTGACAAACTGAACGAATGAAAGACCAACTGACCGACTGCCTGCCGACAGGCTGATTGACTGAAAAACTAATTGATTGACTGACTGAGAGTGAATAGCTGACACATTGTCTGACTGACCATCTAACTCAAACATACCTGCGTGAGTGAAGTACTGAACAACTGGCTAACCAGTTGACGGCTTGCCCGACTGTCAAGCCAAAAATTTACCGCCTGGCCAGCTGCGTGCCTGCCTGTTTGAATGACTGACTGAACTACTGACTAGCGGGTCTCCAAAAACAAGCTACATGTCATTGATTGATACATGAAAAAGTAGATCAACTACCAAATTAAGGAGTGTGGACATCAACTGGAAATCTCCTCCAAATAAACGCACGTGCATTTAGAAAAAAGCACCCGCAAAATGCGTATATACGTCGCGAACCTTCCCCACTCTCAAATTCGCTCGAAGATTTAATCTGTTACAGTTGCTTTTGCCGCCCAACACGGAGATTCATTTACAAGTACCTTCGTTTGGACTGCAGCGAGACCGTCACGTTTAGTATACCCAATCTCTAATTTATTAGATTTTATTTTTCTATGATAGACACGAGTTCTTGCGGCAGCATATTCTCTCCACCTGAGGAAGAGTTGCCCACATCAAATCCTAGTTTTCCAGGAATATTAAATCTGTTGTGATGCTTTAGTAAGTTTGTGCTTCTAAAGTTCTTGACCCCAAATGAAGAAAGTTCGTGAGACTTTTGGCGGCTTCCGTCTTCTACATAAGTGTCTTCAAAGACATCGCTTTTGCGCTTGGAACATGAGCTTTTGTTGTTTACGAATCTCACCGAAGGTCTTTCGAACTCAGTACCAGGACAAGTAATATTAGTTCTTGCTGGCAAAGAATCCTTCTCATGA